TACCCAGAATGCCAGTTTGGCCCCTTCCACTTCTCCTACTTCGTTTCGTTTCTGCCCTCTCCGTTCGGCCCCTCAGGCTGCAGCCACGTTGCCTCCTGAGACCCCCAAGCCTTTAGTATCAAATTTTGGAGACTCAACATGAAGTTACCATGCAACAGCTCTGTTGAGTCTCTAAACTGATCACGAGGTCAGGAGATTGAGACCAGCCTGGCTAACAGTGAAACCCCGTTTCTACTAAAAATACAAAAAATTAGCCGGCATGGTGACACGCATCTGTAGTTCCAGCCACTTGGGACGCTAGAACTACAGATGCGTGTCAGCCCAGGTGACTGTTCTATTTTGTTGGAACAGCCCACAGCCCTCTCCATTGTTGGCTGAATCCGCCGTGATCCCTAGGGCAGCCTGGAGAAAGCGTGCAGACTGCAGACATGCCAAGCACACAGCTTTTGGGGCCCTGTGGGTTGAAGATGTTGTACTGACAGTTCATCTCATTCCACAGAAGGTTTAAGGCAAACCGACGTCCTTAGTCCACAGTTTGAGGGTGGATTCTTTAAGGATCTAACAGAGGATGAAGGGGAAAAGCAAAAAACAGCTGTGACACATTTTAAAAGTTGAACAGAATATTTTATTTCTCAGCAGTTGTATGCAGACAAATTAAACATGAGATGAATAGAGACTTTATTGAGAAAGCAAGAGAAAATTTCTATCAACCCCAAGAAGGACTCAAAGTGAGGCTGGAAGAGGACTTAGAGTATGAAAGTACTCTTAAGAGTTTATCTAAGTTGCCTTTTCTGGGTGGGAAAGTTTAACCTTAGCGACGAGGTAAAAGGACATCAGACATGAAGATGTTTAAGTTGGAGGTGGCAGCATGAAATGCAAACAGGGCCTGCTTCAGTGACTGTGTGCCTGTAGTCCCAGCTACTTGGGAGTCTGTGTGAGGCCCAGGGTGCCAGCACACCAGCTAGATGCTCCGTAACTTCTAGGCCCCATTGCCCCTCTGAAAATAAGAGGGTTGGATCAAAAGATCTCTTGGGCCTCAGCATCTCAAATCCTGTGGATCCTCCCACTCATCCTTAGAGAGCCTTGCTGGGAAGTCAGTCATTAATGGTGTGGCCAGTTATTTGCAAGTGGTAAGAGCCTATTTACCATAAATAATACTAAGAACCAACTCAAGTCAAACCTTAATGCCATTGTTATTGTGAATTAGGATTAAATAGTAATTTTCAAAATTAACTTGATTTTAATATCAGTTTTGTGAGTCATTTACTATAAGCTAAATTGTGTACACTATGACAAAAACAACCATTGTGTTCCTGTTTTTCTAAACAGTCCCAATTTCTAACACTGTATATATCCTTCAACATCAGTGAACTTTGTTTTCTTTTACTCCAGTAATAAAGTAGGCACAGATCTGTCCACAACAAACTCGCCTCTCATGCCTCGCCTCTCACTGTACTCTGCTCCAGGTCAGCCCCCTTTTGGCCTGTTTTGTCAAAAGCCTAATCTCCTTGCTTTTCTTGGTAATATATATTTAGGGAAGGTGCTGCTTTGCCCACACACAGGAAGCAAAGTAAATACAGACCACAAATGTTCACATTGTAAGCCACTTAATAGCGTTTTGCACATTAAAAATGACAAGGGTTATTATACAAGTAGCCTTTTTAAAAATTCTCACACAAAACAGCTTTGTATTTAGACTTAAAGCTGTTGCTAGTTTGCTAGTGACATTTGTGTTAACAGTCAGTGTTCTAGGCCATTGATTGTCAGAATCAGAAGTGACTGCACAAGAGCATAAGCCAGTCAGTCAGTGAGAACAGATAACAGGCTGGCACCAACGCATGGAAAGGAGGACATCAGAGGGAACCCAGAGTTCTCTGTCTCTCCTTCACAGCAGATGGACTCTTCCTATAGGTGGCTATTAATTTACACAAAGTTATATTCCAGAATCAGGAAGCCCCACTGTCACCAACACTTGAAGAACTATGTTCCATTTTTGGTGTTGAACTTCTCATGAAATACCTATTATCAAAAATTGTGACATCTTATTAGACACTTCAAAAGTACCCCCAAAAAACTCTTTAAAAGACCAATCTTTTCCTACACACAGTACATACTAAAATTTCACAATAATCATTTTTAGATGTACATTTTATTCAGTACATTTCACAGTTGTCAGTATTCAGTCCCTCATGAACATTTATACTCATCTCTTCAGTCCTGATGTGAAATGTGATTCCAGTTCAATTCAGACTGTATGATTCCGCTTTTCATGCTGATCAAGTAAATTTATGGTGTCTCTTTTCTGATCTTCAACATTAAAAACTAAAAAGAAAAAAAAAAACACGTAATCTAGTATTAAACATTTTGAGATACCAGCCCTAGGCAGGTCCCATTTTATCAATTTCTAGAAACTGTCATAAAGAGGACTGTATCTCCCACAACAATACTGTAATTGGGAGGTGCATTCCTCGTCAAGGACAAGATGGCAAAGGTGATACGGGAGGAGGGCAGGGAAGTGCTGGGTAGAGAAGGGCAGGGTGTCTGGCAAGGGCTCCACCCTCAGGCCTGTGTCCATGGACCTACATGAGAACAAGCACTCCTGTCTTCATGCTCAAATGTTGCATTTTCCAAGACCACTCCGGCCTGCCATGTCCCCCCATTCTGTGCCCATAAAAACCCTGAGACCCCAGCGGGCACACACACACAGGCAACTGGACATCGAGAAGAACACACTGGCAGAACACACCGAAAGATGCCGGCGGGCCACTGACGGCAGAACGATTTGGACGCCGAGGGAAATCTGGCCAAGGACAGTAAGAGGAGAGCCCGGCTGCTGAGCAGCCCGACTCCAGGGGAAGACCACCTTCCCACACCATCCCCCTTCGGGCTCCCCATCCATCTGCTGAGAGCTACTTCTACCACTCAATAAATCTTGCATTCATTCTCCAAGCCCACATGATCTGATTTTTTCATTACACTAGGGCAAGAACCCAGGATACAGAAAGCCCTCTGTCCTTGCGATAAGACAGGGTCTACTTGAGCTAAGCTGAAGGAGCGCACTGCAACACACACCCACTGGGGCTCCAGGAGCTGTAAACACACAACCCTAGATGCTGCTGTGGGGTGGGAATGCATCCTCCCCACGACCTGCCCGTCCGCGTGCTCACCCTAGGGGTTTGAGCCGCGGGGCACTGAAGAAGTGAGTCACACCCCCACTGCATGCCCTGTGAGAGGGTAAGGGAACTCCTCCCCTTTTTTTTCTTTTTTGAGACAGTCTCGCTCTGTCACCCAGGCTGATGGAGTGCAGTGGTACGATCTCGGCTCACTGCAAGCTCCGCCTCCCGGGTTCACGCCATTCTCCTGCCTCTGCCTCCCGCGTAGCTCGGACTACAGGCGCCACCACCACGCCCGGCTAATTATTTGTTGTCGTCGTATTTTTAGTAGAGATGGGTTTTCACTGTGTTACCCAGAATAGTCTCGATTCCCTGACCTCGTGATCCGCCCGCCTTGGCCTCCCAAAGTGCTGGGATTACAAGCGTGAGCCACTGCGCCCAGCTGGAACTCCTCCCCTTTCAAAGGGTCCAAATGGAATGGCCAACAATGTGCCATGAAACAAGCTGAAGCACCTAAAGATTCCATACTTGTTTGTAACAGTGACATACTGCCCCATATGCATAGGAGATGACAGTATCGAGTGCACTCATGACATTTTAATACAATCACCACGCTCCTGTGCCAGCGTGATTCCCTTGCTACTGCACTTCGAACGGCACACGCTGCCTCCTGAGAGCCGTCCCCAGCTTCAGACAGCTCTTTGGACTCCAAAGCTCTCCCTTTACAGAGCTGATGTCTGGTGTGCTTCTACCATCTGGTCTTACTCTATCCTTTCACACATAGAAAACATAAAAAGGAACATCACAAATAAAACCTAAAACCACGGTCTTGATTTAAACTATGGCACATTAAATGGTAGTTTAATGACTATTCATTTAAATAACTGCCTTATTAAATTAATGGTATCTGTTAAAGGCTCTAATAAAGTTGGAGCTAATGCTTTTTTCTTCCAACTTCCCTGGAGCAAGTAAAGTCTCACTATTTCAATGACAATCTTAATGTTGAAGCTGAGTTGACATTTCTTCAGCTTCTTCAGAGAGCTACCAAGGCACTCATCTTCTTTACCTACCTACTTTGTTTCAAACTTGCACAAGGTCAAGTCCTTAGGACGATGTGAGTTAGGAAATGAGAGATCCAAAAGGCTTCACCGCAAAGTCAAGGCATTTAGTAGGACACTAGGCCCAATTTAAAAGGTTCAGAGCCAGGCGCCAGTGGCTCACACCTGCAATCCCAGCACTTTGGAAGGCTGAGGCAGGCGGATCACCTGAGGGCAGGAGTTCGAGACCAGCCTGGCCAACATGGTGATACCCTGTCTCTACTAAAATACTAAAAATACAAAATTAGCTGGGCACGAGCCTGTAATCCCAGCTCCCAGCTACTTGGGAGGCTGAGGCAGGAAGATCATTTAAACCTGGGAGGTGGAGGCTGCAGTGAGCCAAGATATGCCACTGCACTCCAGCCTGGGCAAAAACAGCAAGACTCCGTCTCAAAAAAAAAAAAAAAAAAAAATTTTTGTTAGAATAGAGGTAAGACAGTGACCAGACCGTGAAACATGCTCAAGAACACACATGAGTGGAGTCAATGACAAAGAACAGAAAGAGACTTTGTATTTGCTTCAAAGTCTGGCTGCTAGTGTATTTTGCCATTTGCCTTTTAAAAATTGCCTAAATGAAGATAGCTGAAATTCAAATGAGGACTTGCATTCTAAAAATTCCAAACTCTGCCAATTGAAACAACTGACATCTGGATAAATATAAAAGATAATTTTTAGGGGGACACTGTGAAGAATCAGACAAGCACAGATTGAGGGACTTTCCACCAAATAACTGGGCCCCTATCCTGCAAAATAGACCACACCACAAATGAGAAAACAGAGAACTGCTCCACGATAAAGAACACTACAGAGGTCTGATAATAAATGCAGTCTATCATCCTGAACCAGAAAAAGACATGAATTGGACACTCACTAAATCTGAACGAAGTCTACAGATAATGGCATTGTATCAACATTAATTTCCTTATTTTGGTAATTTTACTATGGTTATATAAGATGTTAACAACTGGTGAACCTGGGTGAAGGGTACACAGAAATTTTTTGCTTTTTAAAAAAATCTAGATTATTTCAAAATGAAAAGGTAAAAAAATGTAAGTATTAAAACATTAATGAATAATGCATTGGCCAAATGGTAATAAAAGAAGGCATTGTTAGCCAGACGTGGTGGCTCACGCTTGTAATCCCAGCACTTTGGGAGGCCAAGGCAGGAAGATCACGAGGTAGGAGATCGAGACCATCCTGGCCAATACGGTGAACCCTGTCTCTACTAAAAATACAAAAGTAGCTGAATATGGTGGCGCGCACCTCTAGTCCCAGCTGCTTGGGAGGCTGAAGCAGGAGCATCGCTTGAACCAGGAGGCAGAGGTTGCAGTGAGCCGAGATCATGCCACTGCACTCCAGCCTGGCAACAAAGCAAGACTCGGTCTGAGAAAAAGACAAGACAAGACACTGGCAAGATCAGCAAGGCCAAAACTGAAGTGAAGTAGTTGTTACAACTACTCCTGCTGCCCTGAGGATTTCTGCTGAATTCTGAAGTTTATGATGATATTTAAAAGTAGTCACACTCAGAGGAAGACGGGAAAATAATTCAGTCATGAAAACTGTTAAATAAAAAGGAAAAAAATCAAGCATTTATCCTAATACCTACCTTATACAACAATACCACTGAAGTGAAAAAAATCAAGCATTTATCCTGTCTACCTTATACAAACAATACCACTGAAGTGTCTTTTTTTTTTTTTTTCTTTTTGAGGCGGAGTTTCACTCTTGTTGCCCAGGCTGGAGTGCAATGGCACAATCTCAGCTCACTGCATCCTCCGCCTCCTGAGTTCAAGCAATTCTCCTTCCTCAGCCTCCCAAGTAGCTGGGATTACAGGCATGCGCCACCACACCCAGCTAATTATCTTATATTTAGTAGAGACGGGGTTTTACCATGTTAGGTTGGTCTTGAACTCCTAACCTCAGGTGATCCACCCTCCTTGGCCTCCCAAAGTGCTGGGTTACAGGCGTGTGCCACTACGCTCAGCCGAAGTGTCTATTTCTAAGAACATTCCAGTTAACAAATGACATAAAAATGAATTGATACAGGCATTGACTATCAACTGGTATCACAAAAAGAAAGACACCAGGTTGCAGTTAGCCAAGATTGCACCACTGCACTTCAGCCTGGGCAATGAAGCGAGACTCCAACTCAAAAAAAAAAGAAGCCAGAAATGACGTGCCTCCCGATGAAAGAACACACCACCACTTATCTTACCGAGGGCTTGAGCCTGGACCTGAGTCTCATCAAGCCTCTGGGTCTAGCTGCCACTCTACAGAAAAGAGGCCAGGAGAACTCGCTTAACTGCCCCGTGACTCTACAATCAGCAGTATCCAGGCTGTGGGAAACCAGTCACGTGGCTTGGGTTCTCTTGTTGAGACAGAGTTTCACTCTTACTGCCCAGGCTGGAGTGCAGTGACACGATCTCGGCTCGCTGCAACCTCCGCCTCCTGGGTTCAAGTGATTCTCCTGCCTCAGCCTCCCGAGTAGCTGGGACAACAGGCACACACCACCACGCCCGGCTAATTTTTTGTATTTTTAGTAGAGATGGGGTTTCACCATGTTAGTCAGGATGGTCTCGATCTCCTGACCCCATGATCTGCCTGCCTTGGCCTCCCAAAGTGCTGGGATTACAGGCGTGAGCCACCACACCTGACCCAGAAAAATGTATTTTAAGAAAGTCCATAGTGATACCAAAACAAGCAAGTGTGTGGGAGGAGGGAGAGGGGTTCCTTACACAATGTCAAGTACTAAATGTGCTGGGATGGCAGCATGTAAATGTCACCGCTTGGGCAGTGTTCATCAATGGATGGTAAAGCCACACAAGTTCAAAGCCTCCTCTTCCAGATGATGTACTAATAGCAAAAGGAAAATGCCCTTCTGAGACCTCGTGGGCACGTTAGCTAAGGGATCAACCAACCACCAGCAGGACCACCTGCTGTTATGCCTCCTGGGGAGAAGCAAGAATTCATCAGCCTGAATCCATCACAAGCAGACAGACAAGGCCAGAGTTTGATATATTCTACAAGATACTGGCCTGGACTCTTCAAAAATTCAAAATAACACTACAAAGGGCAGCTCTCATAATTGCCTGGAAGCTCTATGCACATCCCGGGGCTTTCCATCTGGGAGGCAGACTGATTTAAGTAGTGACCTAGCCATTTTGTTTGCAAATCCCCGAAAGTCACTGAAAAATCATCCTACTTAAAGACTTGAGCCACACTGATATGTTTCCAGAAACGATGCAGGCTTTCATCAACTTAGGCTTCTCAAGCCTCACCTCCCTCCACTGCCCCTGGTTTCAAAGGCTCCCAAAGAAGAGACGGTCTCTTTGCAATGACCCATTAATTACAATATAATGTTGGGGATTCACTGGATAATCACAGCGAAGGACCAGGAAGGGGAAATGAAAGTTGACCTTGCCACCGACCCAGGCCCCATTCTTACCATCTATGTTTCTGTCATTCCCTGCCAGGGCTGCCTGCTTGTCTGTCTCAGATTCCGCCTCATTTTCATCCATGTTGTAGTCATCTTCTCCTCTCAGTTTCTGCTGGTTTCTCCCTGTAAAATTAGCACATAAAACATAAGCTACATCATTTCTGTCTTGATGTCACAGGAGTATCGAGCACAGGTGCTGGGTGTTAGCCATACTTGCTCACAATCAGGTCTGTCGGCTGCCTCTCCGGAAATGGTAGGGACGCATGGGCTGGGTTCCGGGACAAACACGTGCATTATGTGTACTCCACTTGAACTCTGAATCTAGAGACGGCATGGCCCTAAATAAAAGGGTGCATTCTAGGCTGAACACGGAGAAACTAGCGAACAACTCAAATCTCAAGGTAAAAGAAAGTGCCACTGTTTTGGGAAGGAACGGGTATCTATAGTTAATGACAGCATCTCCTTAGAATGGAGAGAGGAAATGGAGCTGCCGCCGTGAGCCACAGGAGAAACCTCCCTCATACTTACAGTGGGAGAACCCACTACTCTATTCACCCCTGGAGGGGCAGCAGCCAGAGAAGATGAGGACAAAAGGCTTTCAAGAGACCTACTCAAAGGGTTAACTTACATATTTTATATGTGTATGCAGGCGGGTAAACAAAATCTTTTTTTTTTTTTTTTTTGAGATGGAGTCTGGCTCTGTCGCCCAGCAAGGAGTGCACTAGCGCAATCTGGGCTCACTGCAAGCTCTGCCTCCCGGGTTCAAGTGATTCTCCTGCCTCAGCCTCCCGAGTGGCTGGGATTGCAGGCATGTGCTGCCACGTCCAGCTCATTTTTTAGTTTTAGTAGAGACGGGGTTTCACCATGTAGGCCAGGATGGTCTCGATCTCCTGACCTCGTGACCTGCCCACCTCAGCCTCCCAGAGTGCTGGGATTACAGGTGTGAGCCACCGCGCCCGGCCAAACAAAATCTTTTTAAAAGTGCACACCTGGAAAAGCAGCTCTAGCCTATTTCTCTGGCTCACTGCCTGGGGTGGAAACTGCACAGGCCTGCGTGTTTCTTCAAGTGAGGTCACCACCCCTGCGTCTAGAAGCAGGTGCATCCTACAGGCACTGTGGCATCTCAGGCCCACCTTTTGTTACACTTCGTGACCAGCCGCTGGGTCTGATGCTGCGGCGCCACAGGCTGAGCCAGCCGGTGGGATCTCCCTGCCTCACACACCATGAGCGTCTCCTTGCCGGGTGGGCACGGAACACAGCGACCCAGCAGGGATACTTAGCGGGAGGCTGACAACATGCACTTCTGTAACTGGAACTTGGGAGGACACGTTCTTCAGAAAGACAATGAAGTGAAAATTAGATTGAAATGGAATCAGGGTAACTTCTGCAAATCAGTGTATTCTCCAACTTGTGTGACTGGTCCACCCCAGAGCGCAGGTGTCATATCTTCAGAAGTGTTCCTGGCTCAGGTGGGAAGGACATTTTCCACATCGGAAGGGACTGAAATACATCCCGGAATAGTCGGTTGATCTCTGATTCCTACCCTTTATTTCTTTAAACAGAAAAAAGTCAACCAAACCAAAAAGGATTCCCATGTCAAGTTTCCTCAATGTTCACATGCGCATGAACCTTCATCTACCCAATACTCCTTCCTTCCTTCAAGTCATTCACTCACTAGGCACTGATTGTCTAAATGGCACCAGACACTGCACGACAGTGGAGATGCAAAGATGGGCCATTGTGGCCGGCCTGCCAGGAGGAGGCGTCCCTGGATGCTAAGCACCCATCTCCAGGCCGCCCACCTGCAAGGTCCCCGCGACTCCTGCGATACTGCGTCTAAAACCTCGAGTTCTGGGAGCATGTGCTGCTCTTCCTTCCCGCCTCCCTCTTGAAAACGACTAAGAAACCTTCAAACGAAAAGGAACTGGCAAATTGTGGACTGTGTTTGGTCAAATTCGGGTGCTCCGTCGGTGCTGGAGAAGGAGATGGAGGTGGCTGGGTGTCTGGTGGAAGGGGAGTCCACGGCGGCCCCCGAAGCTTCACACCCACCTTCCCTGGCAGCTTCCGGCTCCTCCTCTGTCCATCGGGGATGACAAGCTGGTCTCGCTCGGGGCCCTCCATCTCCGGATTTTCCTGGCTCACTGACAGGGCAGCTGGACCTGTGGGGTCCGGCCCAGTTCTCTGGCTCCCCCGAAGCCTCTTCCGTCTACAGGTCTGTCTGTCCACCACCTGCTCCCGGCCTGGTCCTGTGGCAGCCCCAGCCTGTCCCTCTGAGGCTCCTCCTCACTCACCACCTGGATCTCATTGATTTCCTCTGTGCACAAACACAGTTAGCTGTGACCTCACCAGCATTTGATTTAAAAAAAAAAAAAAGAAAGAAAAACCTCATTCCACTCAATTCCCAGAACCTTCCCAAGGAATGGGGGTGGGGTGGGGCGCACACAGGAGAAACCACAGGTAGCTCCTTTTGTGATCTCACCACGACTGCAGGCCTCTCTGTGCCTGCGGCTCATCGTCAGAACCGCGACGAAGGGAAAATAGCTTACCAAAAAAAAAAAAACAGATACATAACAACAAAAAGCTGGACTGCTAATTATGCTTGACAAGGTACAAAGGCGGAAAGACGGGTGTGTCCTTGGCTGGAGTGACCTGATGTCGTCCCTTGTCCGCTGGAGAACGAAGCACTTTGGGAGCCAGGGTGCAGGTCTAGGGCTTCGACCCGGGGCTTGGCGCCATGGACAGCAGCCTCCTGATCGTTCCCAGTGTCTGCGGCTCAGCCCTCCTCCCCGAGTCCCACAAGCCACCACTCCTGCCATAAAAGGGCAGCCTGGGCCTTTCTCTACACAGCCGCCAAAGGACAAGGCACGTTCGTTTAGGAGGATGGAGACATCCAGTCAGAGACACACAAGAAGCCCCATGCCGCAGGTTCCAGGTTGCCCAGGAGGACACACCCGGTTCTGGTCCGGGCGGCTGCCCGCTTGCTGGGTATCAGCTGTAACTGCTCATGGGCAGCTCGCTGGGGGAACCGCTGCCTCTGACGGGTGGGCTCTTGGAGAGCAGGGGACAGGGCAACTGCTGGCTCTGCTTACCTTTCTCAACTTGTCTTCTTCGAATCCAAAACCACTCGGAACTGGGGGCTGGAGTCTGGAACTTGCTGTTACCGGGCACGTTTCCTTTCCCTTGTGGCACCTCTGCCGTTTGGCAGGCCTGCTGCCTGCTGCCTGGGCTGAGGCTCGGCTGAGGGCTGGAAGCTGAAACAGAAGCACAGGACCAGAAAGCCAGGGCAGGGCTCTGTGAGCAGAAGCCGATACAGAATCCCGGCCAATCCCACCACCACATCCTTCCGACCACGACCCCGAGAAACGCCACAGGTCTACTCTGGTCACGGCCCTTGGTACACGTGGCGGTACATCAGAAGACCAGAGCAGGTTTTTGAGTCAAGGTCTCCCCAGCAAAGGTACTGTCAAAGACAGAATAAAACTGGGCAGAGATTCTGCCTGAGGGGAAGCTTTTATAGAATCATAAAATACCTAGGCGGGAAGATCAACAAAAAAGAAGACATGAACAACACAAATGCTCCTTGGACAGAACGAACATCTCCAGAACCCTCAGCCCAGCAAGGGGAAATGCCACCTGCTTCTCAGGTACACACGGATATTTTCCGGGATGAACAAATGGCAAGGCCACAAAGCAAGCCTCCATACACTTAAATAACTAAAATCACACAAAGGAATTATCTAACAGCAATGGAATGGATATAAATCAAAACAGAATGAAACTTGTGACATTTGCAAATATTTGGAAATTAAACCACACACTCCTAAATCACCAGTGAGTCCAACAATAAACCACAAGGCAAATTAGAAAATGCTTGGCCAGCCAGGTGCGGTGGCTCACGCCTGCAATCCCAGCACTCTGGGAGGCTGAGGCAGGCGGATCACCAGAGGTCAGAAGTTTGAGACCAGCCTGGCTAACATGGTGAAACCCCATCTCTACTAAAAATACAAAAATTAGCTGGGCGTCATGGCGGGCGCCTGTGATTCCAGCTACTTGGGAGGCTGAGGCAGGAGCATCGCTTGAACCCGGGAGGCGGAGGTTGCAGTGAGCAGAGATCATGGCACTTGCGCTCCAGCCTGGGCGACAGAGCGAGACTCTGACTCAAAAAAAAAAGAAAATGCTTTGACACAAAACAAAAACACAGCATACCAAAACTTACGGGAAGCAGCTCCAGCAGTGCTGAGGAGGAACGTAAGACTTCGAGTTTTCAGTTCCTCACGTGAGAAGCTTACAAGTTACCACTCAGTCCTAACAACAAGTAAAAAGCTAAACAGACTGAAAAGTTACCAGCTCTTCTTGGATCCATAGGAGAGGTGAGGACAGAGTGTAAATCACTGTCCTCAAGCCTGGAGACAGGGTCCAATACGGTGAGTCCTGGCTCACCAGGACAGGCTTGGGCAGACGTCACCGAGGGAACTGGTGTTGGGGTGGGAGAGCCTGACCTGTCATGTATGAACTGTTTGAGGCTCAGTGTGGATGAGTCTGAGAGTTAAAAACCTGCCCCAGCTGGGTGTGGTGGCTCATGCCTGTAATTCCAGTACTTTGGGAGGCTGAGATGGGCTGATCCCCTGAGGTCGGGAGTTCGAGACCAGCCTGACCAACATGGAGAAACCCGAGATCTACTAAAAATACAAAATTAGTCAGGTGTGGCAGTGCATGCCTGTAGTCCCAGCTACTCAGGAGACTGAGGCAGGAGAATTGCTTGAACCCGGGAGGCAGAGGTTGCGGTGAGCCAAGATTGCGCCACTGCACTCCAGCCAAGATTGCGCCACTGCACTCCAGCCTGGGCAACAAGAGCGAAACTCCAACTCAAAAAGAAAGAAAGAAAGAAAAAGTAAAAAAGCTGCCCCAGTCGTAAAGGGCTCCCATACTTACAAGTTTTACCCCTAGGAGCTCAACCAGGCTCTCAGTAAATATCAGAGAAAAATTGGCTTGTGCTTCCAGCAGGTGGCCGGGGAAAGGAACCACTCTGAAACAGGCCACAGAGCTCTGTTCTCCTTAACCAGGCTGGCCCTCAGGAGGAGTGTATTACCCAGAGCCCCTGCTGGGATATTATCAGAGCCTAACTGACCTGGGGGAATGAAACACCCAACTCCAGTAAGCTCTAGACTTCCACATGGGAGAAGGAAGCTACTCAACTCCAGCGCATTCTAGCCACTCTGTCCCACTGGGGTAGGGAGTGGGTACTAAGCAGCATAGGGGACATACACAGCCAAGGGGACTCAGGCTCACTGAAAACCCTCATACTTACAGCACACTGATTTTTGACAAAGGTGCCAAGACAATTCAGTGGGGGAAAAGCAGTCTTTCTTTCAACAAGTGATACTGAGACAACTTGATATCCACACACACACAAGAATGAAGCGGGAGCTCTACCTCACACCATATGCAAGAATTAAATTAACTGAAAATGAATCATAGGCCTAGATGTAAGAACTAAGAATGATAAAACTCTGAGAAGAAAATGCAACAGGAAATCTTCAAGACCTTGGGTCAAAGTGTTCCCAGATACAACACCAAGAACACACAACAAAAGAAAAAACAAATACAATGGATTTTGTCAAAATTAAGAACTTTTGTGCTTCAACTAAACACCAGCAAGAAAGTGAAAAACCCCACAGAATTGAAAAAAAAAAAAAACTTGCAAATCATATGTCCATTATATCTTTAGTAAAATAGATTCTAAAAACTTACAACTCAAAAATAACTCAATTAAAAAATGAGCAAAGGACCTGAATAGACATTTCTCCAAAGAAGATATACAAATGGCCAGTGAAGCATATGAAAAGATGCTCAGTATCATTAGGGATATCATAGTTATTAGGGAAATGCAAACCCAAACGACAATAAGCTAACACTCCACACCTGCTAGGAAGGGTATCATGAAAAAGGTAGTATCAAGGGTTGGCAAGGATGTGAAGAAACTGGAGCCCTCATAAACTGCTGGTGGGAGTGGAAAATGGTATGGCCACTTTGGAAGAAGTCTGGGACTTTCTCAATAGGTTAAATATAGATTATCATATAACCCAGCAGCTCTACTCCTAGGTAATATCCAAGAGATATGAAAACATATGACCACACAAAAGCTTCATGTTCATACGGCATTATTCATAATAGCCAAAATGTGGAAACACTCCAAATGCCCATCAACTGATGACGAATAAACCACATGTGGTCCATCCACAGGATGGATTAATCAGCCACTGAAGGGAATGCAGTACTGATGCATGCTGCAACCCTGTACGTGAGCCCTGGAAGCATTTGATACTGATCAGTCCAAGCAGCCCCAGAACTAGGCTCAGGCCGGCAGCCAGTGGGCGTCACCGCCTGTAAATACTCCACCCACTTTATGGGAGGGCTGAATGTGTGGCGGACACTTTTTTGGAAGGTTCAAGATGCGATCGGGACCAGCCACTAGCCCAAACATTGGACTGAGGACAACCCCATCTCTACTAAAAAACTACAAACGGGTAGCCAGGACACTAGGTGGATGGGTCCATAGCAAACACCCACTACCTCGGGAGGAACTGTAAAGAGCAGAAGAATTCGTATACAAATAAAGACATTGAGACCTTGGAGGCGGGCATGAATTGCATTGGTTAGCATATTCGATGAAGGAGTACACGGGCCATCTCTGACATCCAGCCTGGGGCCAACAGAACGAGATGCCCTCTCAAAAAAAAGCCAGACACAAAAGGCCACACATATATGATTCTATTGACAGGAAATGTCCAGATGAGGCAAATCAAGAGACACCAAAGTAAATTAGCAATTGGCTGTCTAGGGCTGTGGGACTGGAAGGAAATGAAGAAGAACTAAGAATACAGAGTTTCTTTTTGTGCCAATAAAAATGTTCTGAAATTGACTGTGTGAATGGCTGCATTAATTTTGTGAAACACCCAGAACCCATGAATTGTAAAATTTCTATGAATATAGGGAATGCAAATTAAAATCTTAATAAAGCTGCTATAGTTTTTAAAAACCAACCAAAGATCACCCAAAGGCTTCGAGCACAGCTCGTGGGCTGTGCTCTGCACGGGAGGGCAGAAATGAGAGCACGAGACCTGGAGGCCCGCCAGACCTGAGGCCTTGATGGCTCTACCACTGACCAGGTGGTGTGAACTGCGCACAGAACTTCACCCCTCCCGTGGGCCTGGGTCCTCAAATCAGGAAAACAGCAACTCTTTCCCAGGCTGGCTGCCGAGCTGTAATACGATATATTCCCGTAAAGCCCTGAGCCTGGGAATGGGACTGGAGGCCAGCACCCTTGTTAGGGTCCATCATCCAGGACCAGGTTCTGCTTTGTTGTATCTCAGGGACCAAGCCCAACAAGGAGGGCAGAGTCTAGAGAAAGCCAGCAGCACATAAAAGAAACAAAATGCTTCAGGATAGGGTACTTCTAAACTCTTGGCAAAAATTCCCCAGTACTGCGTCGTCTGGTCCGTTGTTTTCACTCAGAGTCCTCTGGAAGCTACAGCTTCGTTCCCCTTTGGTGACCTCTTCTATTCGCCCTCACACTGTTCCTTCACCTCCTCATCTGACTGATCACTGGCTCTTGGTGAGAGAAAGCAAAGGAAGGGCCTGATGTCTGTGGCTGTGTCTCTGCTGGACGTGGACATCACTTCCATAAGAGACACGGACCGTCTTCCAGCTTCAGGCGCTTCATCTGAAGGCGCCGCTTAAGACAGGGCAACATGTGTGCGTCAACGATTAAACAACTAAAAGAAAACACTAAAAATAATCATCCCATTGTTCAAACAGTGAACTTTACTGATAGGAAAAAAATTTTTTTAACATAACAATCTGTAGAATAAAAAAGTAACATATAGTTTGGTCTCTCCCTAGCTACTGGCCACAGAGCTCTTAAAACCCTTGGAAGTTCCTGAGGGGATCTGGCCTCGTCACAACCAGCCCCTCTGGACCAACTTGAGTTATACTAATGAGGGTCTTGGGAGTGGGAAGGAATGGGCGTCAAGAGTTCAGGGCGGAGGCTGACTGCCCAGAAGAACCCGCCACATGTCTGGAAAGTTGGAAACTTTCAGCTCCACCTCCCCGGGGTGGGAGAAGGGACTGGGAATGAGTTCAACCCCGTGGCTGGACAGTATCAAATCTATGCATATTAAAGACTCCAGACAAACTCCGGACCACAAGTTAGGGACTTTCGGCTGGGGAATATCCATGATGCACTGGGATG